TTAACAAAAACAGGGTTGTTGAATACGTTTTTTTTAATAAAAGCGAAATAATTGACTCCTCTTTTAAAAAATACCGTAGTTTGATAAATAAGTTTAAAAATACTATATTTTAGTATTAAAGTTCCAAGACAACTGTATTTTGGTAATAGATTCCCGTTACTCTGCCCTCTGTATCTCTCTCCCTCCTCAAGCACAATCACACTTTTTTTTTCTCTTTCACCTGCTTCTCTTGTCTTTTTGTGGCAATCGAGCAACGGATTTATGTATTTAGCATTCGTGCGATAGTGATTGAATTTGGTTTTGATAGTTTATATTGTTTGATTTGTGATAATTCATAGGAAATTAAATGAATTTTTTGATTTAGTTGTAGCCATGTGTTGGTGATTGAATTGGGTTTTGATAATTTATGAGTAAACTTCATTTTCTTCTTCAACATATTTGTAATGGAGGATTACTACGATAGTGTCAATACTTGATTGCTAAGACATTGAAAAAACTAGACGAATTTGGTCTTCAATTGGTGGGTTTTTACGGTATTTAGTTGGTTTTAGTATTGTTGTGTTAGTGAATTGAAATGGGTTTTGATAAATTAAGTTCTTTGATAAATGGTGTAAATAATGTGTCTTTAATATTGTTCTTTGTATTGCTAAACAGGAAAAATAAATATATATGAGTATATTTGTAGTTGACATAGTTTTGAGTTGTTCATGTTTTTTGTATTGATGGGTTGTATTGTGTTTTTGTATAAGGATTTGATAGATTGTCTATGGTGGTTATGTTTGCGGCATGGTAGATTGCGTATTTGTTTCAAGCTGGGACAAAGGAACTCACTTCTAAGTTGTTTTTCTTTTCATTTCAATTAATATGAGTGTAGCATTGAAGCACATAAGTAAATTGAGTTTCTTAATTGTTTTTGGTTTTGTTTGATTTGATTCTTTTGTTTTTTAAGTAACTGAGGTTGGTTTGAATCTTACTCAAAAAAATAAAAAATCGTTGAAGCGATTGACGTAGTTTGCACTTAATTGCAAGTAAACAAAAGACCAAGATTACACTAGTAGTTAGAAGAACTTATTTGGCAGGATGGAGTGATGCACTTCGGATGTGAGATGTTGGCCTTTTTATTTTTTGGCTCAAGTTTGTTGAGTATGTTGTTTCTNAGACTCTCGGCTTAGTGCGTGTCCATGTTTAGTGCTTAATTTTTATTTATCCAACATTAATTTTTAATTTTTTTAAATTTTATCATATTTTTAAATACGAATTATCGCTGGTACGACTCTGATGAGTAGGGCCTTTTCTTTAAGTCTTGGGGAAGTTAACTTGAAGTGGTTTTATTTTATAGTCTGCCGCGGAGGTCGATTAACAGTTGTGGAGAGCTAGTCAAACTATTTACTGATTAGTTCTTTATGCTTTGTCACAATCAACACTGGTCAATATCAACGTTGTCAAAATTTGACACGATACGATTAATTGACACAAATCTCCACAAATTAAATAAATTTAGGTGAAATTTTAACGAGTTTGAGTGATAAACAGGTTGACACGCCAAACACGTTTAATAAACGGGTCATGTTCGGGTGAGATCTGTCAAACCGTTTATCACACGTTTATCAGATTAAATAAAATTAATATAATAATAAATTAATAATTATTTAAAAAAATTAGCAAGAAAAAAGAAGTAAAGAAATCAATAAAAAAAAATAAAATAGTAGTTTAAAAACAAAGAAGAAGAGTTGAAGAACACTTTAAAAACAAAGACAACCAAATGTCTTTTGTTTTTGTCCCACATTAGAAAATGAGGAGAGATGGGGAGGGTTGAGTTGCCTATAAAAGACAATGACTTCTTGCTTTTATTTTCAAAGCTTTCAAGTCTTATTTTTCAAAGACAAAGGAGAGCAGTTATAGAGCACTTGAAAGACAAAGGCAAACCAATGTCTTTTGTTTTTGTCCCACATTAAAAAATGAGGAGAGATGGGGAGAGTGAGTTGCCTATAAAAGACAATAGCTTCTTGTTTTTTTTTAAAGCCTTTAAAAGTCTTATTTTTATGAGATTTGATTTAAAATTCCTCTTTTTTGAGGTAAGTGCAATTAGTAGTAAAAAAAATGGAGTATTAAAATTTGTTGATATAATTTTTTTAAAAATTAAACGGGTTAAACGAGTCGTCTCGTGTTACCCGTTTATTAAACGAGTCGTGTTCGTGTTGAGATTTTTTATCCGTTTATTAAACGTGTCGTATATGAATTTATATGTTTTTCATCCGTCACCTGTTTAACCAAACACGTAACCGTTTAACCCGACACGATTGACACCCCTAGTCAATATCATTCAAAAATGCAGTTTTTTTGTCTGGATTTTTGGGAATAGAATGCACAAAAATTCTGGAAGGTCTTTGGTAGCATTTGGATATGGAACCGAATCGACGGACACAATTCAGATAGATAAAGATAGGTTAGTGTTTGGATTAATTTAAACTTGGTCAAAGTCTAGATAAAGACGAGTTTGATTTTTAAAGTCTCTCTACTTTATCTTAGTTTTTAAAATCTCTTCACTTCATTCCCATATGTGTAATATATCTCTATACTAGTAATTCACCCCATGGATGCACAGGATTATAATTAGCGTTTTTAAAATTTTTAATTTTTTTTATTTCTATTACTTGAGAAGTTAAATAAATAATTATATAAAATTTTTGGGGGATAAAAAGTGTTTATTTTGAAAATTTTTAAAAGATAATGATTAGTTATTGAAGAGTTGATGAGTAGTTATCAACGATCAACTTTTGATTAGAGGGAGTCTTTAAGTTTTGAATTAAAAAATTTTAAATTCTAAGAAAAAAGAAAAGTAAGAGGGAAGACTTTTCAAGTCACCTCCCATTGAATTTGATNTTAAATTCTAAGAAAAAAGAAAAATAAGAGGGAAGACTTTTCAAGTCACCTCCCATTGAATTTGATTATTTTATATATATTGATAGATATATAGTGGGATTCTACCAATATATGAGATATAAAAAATTACTACGATTAATGTTTTTCATTCTCTCTATATATATTGTGATTTGTGTGAGACTCTAGAACGGCATAAATCTAAGTTTGGCTCATGTAGCCTAACTTACTATGACTGTAAAATAATGTCTAAATTCGTTGATTCATTGTGTTCAAATCGGAACCAAGTATAATTTATTTTATGTATTCATGTTTACGCATTCTTACCATACATGAGAAGTACATTTCAGGTGAATTGGCTATGGTAGTTTCTTGACTTAATCCAATGTGCTTGACATATGTGTAAGGCAGTACAAGCCTCGAGCTTTGATTAGGGTATCCTTTATTTTGTATCTAGTTTGATGGTTTCACTTTCACTCTTTCATCTCTTGCTTCTCAGACTTCGTGTCTAGTCATACGGGTAATACTACGATGTTGATGAATTATTTTTCGTTACAGTAATGGAAGTTACAACAAAATTGACATTGCAGCAGAATTCATTATTGATGATAATAGATTTAAGTCTAGGCCGCCCACTTGGAGCCCAAAACACCCACGATCGTCCGCTGTATCAAGGGACTAGGCCACAGCTCAGGGCAGTGGAAAGCCCAAGATTGTCCAACTCAGGATATATACCAGCTCGGTACCAACAAGCTCAACGGCAGGTATCTGCTCGAGAATAAGGAGCTCGGCACAATACAAGCCTCAAATAACCTCGATTGAGCCACGTGGCTAGGGGACAGGGGAACAATGTTTGATGACTTTAACGAACAAATATTCCCTAATAAAGGGAATATCGCATACATTCCGTTTCAAGGATTTTTGGCGTAAAAGACGTCAAGCTAACAGATCCTGTTACAGGACAAATGAGGAGGGGACCACAGAATNTGCATACATTCCGTTTCAAGGATTGTGGGCGTAAAAGACGTCAAGCTAGCAGATCCTGTTACAGGACAAATGAGGAGGGGACCACAGAATCAGCCAAAAAAAGAAGAATTGCAAAAACCCTAGAGAGCCAAATATATAAATAAAAGACAAAGCCACTGTAAAGAGAGAGCTCACCAGACAACTTAAGAAATACTTTGTAAAAGAATCCCATCCAAGCTCTCTGTAACCGCTACCTTGTTCTTAGCCTTTCGGCTAAAATAAACCACTCATATTACTGTGTTCATCATCTTTTACACATTGAACGCATCCTCCGCCACAAACACACACAAAGTCCCTCTTGGGCCTCACCACCTTACAGTTCTGTAATTGGGTAAATAAATTTTCGAACACCATCAATTATCATTCTACCTTGGTTTTTAAACTTTGAAGTGTGTTTTGAAAACACAATTCTGTGTTGAAAAGCTTGTTTTGAAAACACGCTTTTATGAAAACAAATAAGCAATTGTAGTCACAAAAGATTAAAGCAATAGTATTTAGGTAAAAAAAAAATTAAAAAAATGAGGTAGAATGATAATTAATTCCATTGCTGCAACAGGGCATCAAAATTCATATAGGTGGTTGGAATGGTTTTCGCTACAGCTTCACGAAGCAAAAGTTATAAAATTATCAACTANGACAAAAGATTAAAGCAATAGTATTTAGGTAAAAAAAAAATTTAAAAAATGAGGTAGAATGATAATTAATTCCATTGCTGCAACAGGGCATCAAAATTCATATAGGCGGTTGGAATGGTTTTCGCTACAGCTTCACGAAGCAAAAGTTATAAAATTATCAACTACCTTCTTTTCCCACAAAGAATAGATAATTGCATAATAAATTCTAGTGACCCTTGTGAGACATTGTTCCCTTAAAAAAATGCCGCAACTATGACTTCTTTCTTCTCAAAATTACTGAAAAACCCACTCAAAATAACATAACTCGTCCAATCGGATTCACAAACAAAGCCTTAACAACCCCGACAACAACAATCAACAAAGAAAAGATCAAGAATAGTGATAATGTAGTGTCAAACCGATAGATTGCTTAAAGGAGGACGCGGTGATTCAATGGAAGAAAAATTAGAATCGCAACTGCTAGGATGAAGAGCAGCAAGGCTTCTTGGTGTTGGTATCCTGTCCTCCAACAACAAGTGTCTGCCCTTCTTTGATGCTAGTTGGTGCTGGTTCGTTTGAAGAAAGGGACTTCTTGCTGATAATCCTGTATATCTCTGCAAGAATTGTCTGGAAAGCCTTCTCAACATTCGTTGCTTCTAAAGCAGATGTTTCGATGAAAGAAAGCCCTTCTTTCTCAGCAAAACCTTGAGCATCCTCTGTAGCAACAGCTCGGAGATGCTTCAGATCAGTTTTGTTTCCAATAAGCATGATCACAATATTGGCGTCTGCATGATCCCTTAGCTCCTTCAACCACCGGCTCACATTTTCAAATGTTGTTGGTTTTGTCACATCATATACTAGTAGAGCTCCTAGGGCACCCCTGTAATAAGCACTTGTTATTGCTCTGTATCGCTCCTGTCCTGCTGTGTCCCATATTTGTGCCTTCACTGTCCTTCCCTCGACCTGCAATTATTATCGCGTGTTAAATAGATAAACCTTCTCAAAGATTCACTGAAAAGATTAGGATTCCTAAGAACACCACTGTGCGAGAAAGTAGCAGATGTTTCCAACCAACAAAACCATTCATCATAATGGAACCAAGAACTGAGAGTGTGCAATCTCAGCTAACTGACCTATGCAGGGCTGAGCTTTAGATCCAGGATTGTACACTACAAAACATCCCCAGGATAGAATAAAGTAAAATAGTTGAGCTATTAAGCACCTTTTCAGGCTAATGGCCATCCAAATTATTAAAAATGAGTTACCAATGACAAATTCAGAGGTTGGTGTGAAAATCACGTTAAGATGGAGTGGGGTGCCAATAAACTGAACCCTAAATATTAAAATGATGTCATCATTGTCATTCCACCACCCAGGGATGGAGCCAGAAAATCCTTCTAGGTGGGCACGTTGATAAGTTTTAAATTTTTTTATTAATTGATAAAAAGTTAGATAATCTTTTATATCTCATTACATTATATTTAATACTCAAATATCCAATAGATACAAAAGGACCAAAAACTGGAATACATTATGTAAGCTAACAAAAAACAATTACTGAAAAAAAATAAGGTTTATCAATTTGGATGCTCAATTGAATCTTCATAATTAAAAATACTCTCTATAGTCGCAATCGCAAGTGGTAAAATCAATATCAAATTCACAAGTAAGTAAATTAAAAATTTTACCAAGTCTTTTCCAATATTATCTATTTTTTTAGCAAGATCATCAATCCTTTTTATGTTTTCAATAGTAGGGTACAAGTCAATAATATAGTTGTTTCGATAATCAAAAAGGGTTAAGAGTCACCTAGTGTCGTAGTGTTGTCACCAACTACAAGGATCTCAAATAAAGGCAAGTCACATATCACTAGAAGTAGCATAACCATCAAAGGACCACAGTCATTGATCGATTCTTCATCCTTATCTCAATCTCTCTTTTTTTTAGGTGGTGTCCCGCTTTGGTCAGATTTAAGTAATCTCATTAGATAGACATATTTAAATTTGAATTTTTCTAACTCCAATTGATTTTGAAAATAGAAGTTGTGACTCTAATTTTCAAGTCCTTGCAATAATATTTATAAAATAAAAATTAACAAAATAATTTAAAAAAAAACACACAACTTATAATTGTAATATATTCAAAACTTATCCAAAAAATTATGTAACATGTTCAAAACATGACTGAAAGTTATCAATCATTTGGTTATGATTCTATCCTAAGTAGTATGACATAANTGTCCTTGCAATAATATTTATAAAATAAAAATTAACAAAATAATTTAAAAAAAAAAACACAACTTATAATTGTAATATATTCAAAACTTATCCAAAAAATTATGTAACATGTCCAAAACATGACTGAAAGTTATCAATCATTTGGTTATGATTCTATCCTAAGTAGTATGACATAAAATATAGTAAGGTGGGCATACTTCAGTATACTCAATAAATATTTCAAATTTATATAGAGAATATAATAAAAAACAATTGAGGGTGGGCACAAGTCCTCACCTAGCTCCGCCCTTGCCACCACTGCCAAAAATGGGTGGTCAAGTTCATTAAAGGTCGTGGTGGCTTGCATTAAGAATGTGGGGCCCTCCGAAGACCAAAAACAAAAGAAATCCTTCACCAATTGACAAGAATAACCGATGGCAAGCCATTGTTACCATTGTTGGTCCATAAAGGGGCTGAAAAGAAAAAACAAATGAGAAATTAATTTCATTTATTTGATCTCAATTGTTCAGATGTTCCCAGACTTGGACAGTATCAACAACTAAATTGAAGGAACTACTCCAAAGGACAGAGAAGGGACTAAAAGGAAAGATAAGCAGAAGAATCGACTCTTAGGGTTTAACATTCTTCCTGCAAGGAGGAAATGAGAGATAATGGAGGAAAAGAGATTTAGTTNCAGAGAAGGGACTAAAAGGAAAGATAAGCAGAAGAATCGACTCTTAGGGATTAACATTCTTCCTGCAAGGAGGAAATGAGAGATAATGGAGGAAAAGAGATTTAGTTAAAAGAAAAAGATTGACTCAAGAATTCTATTACTAACTCAAATAGCATGCCAATACAGTACAGTCCAGTGTGAAACCCACTCACAATTACTTTCCTTCCATATGCTGCTCAATTTCTTCCCAAATAAAGTTCTCTCCCTTTAAGATTGTTCCTTGATCTTAGACAAAGGGAACAAGGGGGGTGGCCAACAACCTCCAGAAGTACCATAGCACTTAACCTTTATAAAGGGGAAAAACGATTTTCATGCACAAAATCACCCGCCAAACAATCTAGGCAATCCATAAATAGTAGATGTTCTTCTGTAAGGAAATCCACTTGTTATTCCACGTATGTCTTAAAGAGACTCCAAAATTCCAAAATAACCATCAGCAGTTGCTCACTCCGGTTGACATAGTGTAAAGCAAATGGACAGCCTATTCACACTGTTTCCATGATTTCTAATAGAATTATACCATTTCCATGTATTATTCCCTAGTTATATCCTTCTTTTGCCACTTACAGACAAACTAATTATTCCATCAAGAAATTTCTATATTGATAACATGTACCCCTGGAAAAAAACGATTTCTACAACGATAAATATCCCCATGAATGAAAGAACGATTTGAAATAGTAAAAGCAAGTTTCATCATAATAGCTAGTTATGATTATTAAAAAGGAATTTGCAGAGATATCACTTTTATCACTTTGGTACAATAACTTTTAACACCAGTACAAATAGTAATATACTCTAATCTCTTTAAAGATTCAATTCAACCATAGTTAATCATAGCCTTAACAAGCTTATAAACTACCATCAATTAATTCAAAATTTACCCATAAAATCAAAACTATGAGAAATCGACTCCTTACTTCGTTCTCATGGTAATCACAATTAGTGTAATTAGTCAAATGATCAACAATATCAATGCAAACAGATTAATCTCCAACTTAAAAATTAAATGCATACAAAAAATATAAAATTCTCCCAAACCCAAACCGCTAGTAAAAAGATTCAAAACAAGTAGATCAAGCACAAGAAAAAATGGTATACAAATATTGACAACAACACACATTCTATATATACACACAGACATAGGAGAGAGTGCTGGTGTGAGTTGGATCTANCCAAACCCAAACCGCTAGTAAAAAGATTCAAAACAAGTAGATCAAGCACAAGAAAAAATGGTATACAAATATTGACAACAATACACATTCTATATATACACACAGACATAGGAGAGAGTGCTGGTGTGAGTTGGATCTATACTACAAACATAGAAAGGAATGAGATCAAGGAAAAACGAAAATAGAAAGCGCAAGCAAATCCATTCAAAAAGAGCAAAAACGGGCCTGAGAGATCAGACATATATAGAAAATGACGGATAACTAATTTTGGAGAGAGAGAGAGAGAGAGACCTGAAGAGTACGGGTGGCGAATTCGACGCCGATGGTGGATTTGGATTCCAAGCAGAATTCATTACGGGTGAATCGGGAAAGCAGGTTAGATTTCCCTACTCCGGAATCACCGATTAANCTTTTGGAGAGAGAGAGAGAGAGACCTGAAGAGTACGGGTGGCGAATTCGACGCCGATGGTGGATTTGGATTCCAAGCAGAATTCATTACGGGTGAATCGGGAAAGCAGGTTAGATTTCCCTACTCCGGAATCACCGATTAAAACTACCTTGAACAGGTAATCGTATTCCTCGTCCGGTCTCCTCGACATGTCTCTCTCTCTCTCTCACACACACACACACAGAGCGGAAACTACAGTCCACACTTCGTCTCACTCCCCCCGTGGAATCGGTCGCTGATATTAAACAGTGGCCTCGCTCACTAAATGATCATCATTGTCAATGATCAGAATTTTGTATTCCCGAACTGCCCCTCGGGCATATGTGCAATTTGAACGGATCAATCTGAATCTAGGCTAAAAAAAATTGAATTTGGTTTAAATTTTTAAAATGAGTTTTTTAGATGCAGATATATTTTTATAAATTTATTTGGGAGGAAGTATATGATTAAGTTTTTTATTCAATTAAGTTCACTTTTATTAAAATATCTTATAATTAAAAACACAATTATCTTTTATTTATATTATTTATTTACTATATCTTAAACTATGCATAATTCTTTTTTTTTTCATTCTATTTATCACATCGTTACTTTCTCTATCTCTACCTTTTTCTCCACTATTTTTTTCTCTCTCTCCCTGTTTTCTATCACCTTTACTCTCTCTCTATTTTTTCTTTATATCAACGTTACAAAAATATAATTACACTAATCAGTTACAATTGTTCTATAATACACCAAACAATTACTTATGTTTTATAATAAACTAACAATTATACCAAACAATTACACAAACTTACGACACTAACACAATTTGTCACTTAGTTATTTATATAAATCAAAAAGTCACAACATTTAGTATTACGACATGGTTACCCAAATTATATATACTAAATTTGATGTAATGGTAAACTCTTTTGTATAATAATAAACTTAATTTAGTTTATATAATTGGTGTAATTATGTCATGATATTAAATGGTATGACTATTTGGTTTGTGTAAACAACTGAATAACAAATTAGATTGACATTGTAATATCGTGTAATTGTTTGATGTAACTGTTTGATTTATTATAATATATAAGTAATTGTTTGTTTATATTATAAGATAATTATAATTAATTGGTGTAATTGATTGATATAATTATATTGTTGTAACGTTGATATAAGGAGAAAGAGAGAGAATAAGGAAATAAAAAGTAACGGAGAGAAAAAAATAAGAGAGAGAGAGAGGGTGAGAGAGGAAAAATAGGAGAGAGATAAAAAAAAATCAAATCAAATCTTTACATATTTGAAAAAAAAATAAATTATCAATGGGGGGAGAGAGAATAAGGTGTAAACGGACAAATTTTCTCTTATCTTCTACGATCGATGATGTCCTTCCTCGAGTCAAGTCTCCTGCAAAACGAACAAACTGTCCAAAACCAAAGTGTTTCAATTGAAAACACTTCGATGCTTAAGTCAATAGGTGTAAATAAAAAACAAATGTGTTATGGAAGGATTCAACGTACCTTTCACTATGCATCCTTGCTGACTTATATAGACTTCAGTGATTCCTCTTTCTGGGGAAGAAGATGGCACATCTTCCTCCAATGTAGGATTGTCGGTTGGCTCTTCCAAATCTCTCTAACGCTCCCTTGATCTCAGCTTATGAGCTGTTGGATTTACCTAGCTGGTACAGCTAAATCCCTTAAACGTAGGCAGTTATTACGATGTTCGGTTCTTATCTTGATGTGGCCAGATCCTTTTGCTCGGTCATACTATCGATCTAAACAGTTTAGTTTGATTCTGGCATAGCCTAAAGCTCACGTGGCTCCATTTCATGCGTGATGGTTTACCCATGTGGCATAATTTTATACCCCTTCACTTGCTCCCAAGAAACGCATGTCAGCTGTCATTCGTTTAACAGATGTTTCATGTCCTCAGGTTCATCATTGTTTGGGTTCTCGAGACACGCAATTGTCTCTTCTCATTAAATGCTTGTCCTTTGGCTTCCCCCTTCACGTAGTATAAGGTGTCTTGATTTTCTTTTCTTTGTACTTTGTTCTTCTTCTCCACCTGACGTTCTGTTTCATTTATTCTGCTTCCAAATGGCCCCTTTTACAAAAGAAGGCGTCCCAACTTTCAAGAGCAAGTACACCATTCCTAATGACGTCCAAATTCGAGTAGTTGTTGATGACGAACCATTGGTTGGTACGAGGGAATCGAACCTTATTTATATAAAGGCTATCACCGAAGGTGGGGTGAGATTTCCATTGCACCCCCTGCTACTTTGGGTGCTCTCTGCCATGAAGTTATGCCCCATCCAATGCTGCCCTAACTTCTTCAGGATTGTTATGGGTGTTGCAACTTTGAGCAACCTACTGAATATCAACCTGGGCCTTTGGGAAATCCTCTTTTTGTTACATTCTGAAGACTACTAGTGACAACTACTATTTGGTGGTAAGAAGGAAAGACAGATACCTGGTAACCCATCTCCCAGACTCAAACAAAAGCCATGAAAGTGACATAATTTTCATCTTTGGGAACTGGGAGTAGAAGGCAGGGGATACACCCTCTTACCAATGCCTATATGAAGAAGGCATGCTAGATATATGATTGTTTGTCTTAAGTCATTTTTTTACCTAGTGCGTAGTATACACCTTTTAGTCTTCTACTTTTGTATTTAGGAGAGACTGTCAAGGGAAAAATAATTGAGAGCTCGATGAAGATGGATGATCTAAGGAAGGTGTGGTCCTTTAACAAGAGCTTTTTTTGCCGAGCTACTCATGTCTTGCTAGGGTTTACCCCTACGTGCCATTCATTCATCGCTATTCTTGATCGGGCCAATGCCATGCTTGTCGAGGACAGAGTCGAACTTCAAGCCCAATGTTCTGCCATCCCCTATTCTCGACAAAAGACTGCCATTCCCTCTAGAAGAAACAAATTAGTAAAGAATTTTCTTAGTTTCCTTTATGCTAGTGAATCTTGCGAAGCCACTCCTTCAACATTGTACATTCCTGATGAAACATCTTCTTTATCTATCCCATCAATCGATTTAACACTTCTTCTTGATCATGCCCCTACTTTTGCCGATCTATCAAATGATTTTAAGACTTCAGTTCCTTCTACTGATCTACCAGCCGACTTTAAGACTTCGATTCTTCCTCCCGAGCCCCCTATCGACAAAGTTCCTGTTGCTTCTCCAATTATTTCTTCTCCACCTTGGCCAGCTGATGTTGAGCCGGAGGAGCATTTGACTAAGAAGAGGCGGATGAAGTCTCCTCCTACCTCTGAATGGTTAAAATTTATCTTTCGTCCTGTTCTGAAGGTGAAAGGCAAGGAAATAAGCATTAGGGACTCAGTTGTCGAGGACATGAATGTAGCGGTGGGGATTTCTAGGGGTGTAATTTTGCCTCATGATCTTGTTGTAAATGAGGTGGCTTCAGACAATGAGATTGCTCAGCAAGCCATCCAGTAGATGGTTTTGGTATTTATCTTGATCCTCTTTTTCCTTTTAGATTCAAATTGCATACTTATATTTTTCTCTTTCATTTTCAAAAAGGGTCTTCAAAAGGTGTATGAAGTAGGGGCCAGGATTTCTAGAAAAGACAAGGCCATGAAAAAGGTGATCCATGATCGTATGTTTGCCCTAACCAAGAAAGAATTTGTTGACGAAGAATATGCCAAGTTTTACGAAGAGATGTTGCTCCTTCAGGCTCAATCTCTTAGCTTGAAAGATGAGAACAAAAAGCTGGCAAAAAAAGTGGAGGAGCTAAAGGCTTCAAAGAGCTCCCTCAGCATAGATTTATCCCAAACTCAGCTTGAACACTCCTCTTTGCTAGAGGAGTTCGACAAGTTCAAAGCTAAGGCCAAGGATCTTAAAGATGCTATTTTTGATCAAGGGATGGAGNGGAGCTCCGTCAGCATAGATTTATCCCAAACTCAGCTTGAACATTCCTCTTTGCTGGAAGAGTTCGACAAGTTCAAAGCTAAGGCCAAGGATCTTAAAGATGCTATTTTTGATCAAGGGATGGAGAAAACAGAGATGGACCTTGCTTTGCAGATTCCTTCGCTAGAGTGAGCATATTTTTCAAAAGGCTGGGTTGCCGCTTTGAAGGCTGTTGATGTGCCTCCTACTTCTGAACTCTTCTTGTGTCATTTTGCGCCTAGTTCTTATGGTCCTCCTACTACCCTTGAAAGTTCATGTAAAAAAGCATCTTTTTTGAACATCTATGAAAAAAATTTCTCTTTATTTTGATATGCCCTTTTTCTTCCTTTATTATTATTTTTTTTATGCGACGTTATGACTAGAGACTGATTCAACATATTTTCGTTGTTTAACTAAACAGTCTCGCACTAAGAAGCCTTGGCTCTATTTGACCCTTCTCTAGGGCTAGGTACCAAGCATATCAGCTAGGGACATTTTCTTAGAAAAAATCTCATTTAATTGGCTCTAAGAAGATTTTAGCCTTGTTCGGCCCTTCTCTAGAGCTAAGTCCCAAGCATATCTGCTAGGGATTTTTTACTTAGATAAAACCGCATTTAATTGGCTCTAAGAAGCTTTTGGCCTTGTTCGGCCCTGCTCTAAAACTAGGTCCCCAAGCATATCTGCTAGGGACTTTTACTTGGAAAAAATCATTAAATTAGCTCTAAGAAGCTTTGGCCTTGTTCGACCCTTATTTNTTTTTGGCCTTGTTCGGCCCTGCTCTAAAACTAGGTCCCAAGCATATCTGCTAGGGACTTTTAGTTGGAAAAAATCATTAAATTAGCTCTAAGAAGCTTTGGCCTTGTTCGACCCTTATTTNCAAGCCTTTCAATCTGTAAGTTCCCCCTAGTGGACGAGTATAGTCTCGTGAGGGTTTTTAGAGATGAAACCCACAAACATCAACCTGTGATCAAATATCTAAATAATAATTTTACAACACAAATTGTTACCACAATATAAAAATTCTAAGCTGTAAGCTTTTTTAATAAGCACATGCAAAGCAAAATATATAATTCTACGCTATATAAATGTATGCACTTATCATGTTCCNTTATAGCTAGGTCCTAAGCATATTTGTTGAGGATTGGCTCTAAGAAGCTTTGGCCCTGTTCGGCCCTTCTTTATAGCTAGGTCCTAAGCATATTTGCTGAGGATTTTTTACTTAGAAAAAATCTCATTTAATTGGCTCTAAGAAGGTTTGGCATTGTTCGGCCCTTCTATAGAGCTAGGTCCCAAACATATATGCTTGGGATTTTTTACTAGAAAAAATCTCATTTAATTAGCTCTAAGAAACTTTGGCCCTGTTCGGCTCTTCTCTAGAGCTAGGTTCCAAGCATATTTGTTAGGGACTTTTACGAAGCTTTGCAAAGAGGCTGTGGCCCTCCGGGGCTCCACTTGCAATTTCTCCATTTGTACTGACCTGCCAACCAAATCAGACTCAGACCATTGTTTGTTTGATTTACATCGTCATGCCTAACCATGAGCCTAGATCTGATAAGGTGGCTACACCTGATTTAGGCCTACGCCTTGCTACAATTTCAAATATGTAAATTCAAGTGCAGGTTGTGCAAAATAATATAGACTCAGAAGACTGAGGTCAAACCCTCATGGAATTGTGAAAACAAATAGACAACACACTAAACTGTTAACAAACTTGTAAAATAATTTGCAAGAAGAATGTTTGAATATGTATAATTGAATAAATTGATTAAAACAATATGCAAAATACTAGAGCATCAGTTACACTCCCTCAAATCTATATAGTAATGATTAAATACTTAGTTTTCAAACTTAGACAAGAATCAAGTGTCAACTGACTCCAGACACCAAATTTATCAATAATAACGATAAAACACCTTTGTTTATAACTAAAAGTTTATCTAGAAAAATCAAAAAACTGTTTGTTGGTTGTAGGTATTTACTGTGTCCGGAGTCTACAATAAATCAAACTCTCCTAACAATCGAATTCTTGATTCAACCACACAATCCTCTAGCTATATTATTATGCGAAATAAATTGTAATTAACTTAAGCAAAGAATAACTAGTTATTTGTCTCGCAGGGAATATTCAATAAATCAAGGTACAAGACACAATTACTCAAGAATTTTTACAAAGCAAAAATTTTACTAAGAATAAAAGTTAAATTAACAAAATTTCACATACCATTAAACCAATAAGTCAATAACAATATTGTACTTCATTGAGAGATTCTCCCCTAACTCTGGTAAAATCTCTTAGCCAGACATGACAAGGTTAAACCAGAAGAATAAAAATAAAAAGACTAAAGTCAAAGGTCCCCTCCACCCAACTATCCCCTCCTATATATATTGTTATTTAAGAAAAGATCTAATTGAAATCCAACTCTGTTGCTGGCGTTGGCAACTCCAGTAACAAGCGTCCGGACGCGTGTTTTCAACCATTCGGACGCACCTACCAGTGTGTTCCACCTCTTCAAACACATCAATCTTCACATTTTGCCAACTCCGTCCAGACGCAAAGCATTCCACCGTACGGACACGCATTCCGAAATGCTCATCCTCAGCTGTACTTCTTTATTCATTTTATCTCTTCTAATTTTCACTCATTTTTCCTGGAAAATTAACAAAATTCTTCCATTACTATCATAACATCAAATCTTTAATAAATTATCACATTTACCACCCTTTTTCAAACAAATAACTAGTTTTTTTCATCAAACAATCACATTATGAGACCATAATCACACCCCCAAACCCAGACCTTGCTAGTCCCTAGTAAGGTAAACAAAAACAAAATAAAAACAACTCCACTTTCGTAGGACTCACGACTACATTTAGCAAATGTAACAAGCCTTTCAATCTGTAAGTTCCCCCTAGTGGACGAGTATAGTCTCGTGAGGGTTTTTAGAGATGAAACCCACAAACATCAACCTGTGATCAAATATCTAAATAATAATTTTACAACACAAATTGTTACCACAATATAAAAATTCTAAGCTGTAAGCTTTTTTAATAAGCACATGCAAAGCAAAATATATAATTCTACGCTATATAAATGTATGCACTTATCATGTTCCCATATAAAATCATGTGTAGTGTAAATTAACTATACCAAATTAATAATTTATCCAGTAATTACCTCTACCACTATCAACTATTCATCTCAATGCCAAATCTCACTAGAAAATTTACTCATAAAAGATTCTCTTAGATAATAGTGACTATTCTCTCAAATATCACATGTGAGAAGAATATATTTAAATCAAAATAAAATAATGCTCACATGTTTAAAGTAACCGCAATCCAAAAGAAAAGAATTTGACATAGTCTCATGAAAGGAAATCAACACAATAAATAAATAATCACTATTCTTTTCCTTATTTACACAAGTCATGCATCCACCAATGTACTCTTGAGATCAAATAGGTATTTATTTAAGGTTGTAATGGGACCTTGAGATTAGGGTTTTGAAATGAAGGGTATTCAAGAATTCAAAAGATTATCCCGAGAGAACATGTACATTACATAACCAAACTTTTTTCTATAGCCTTTCAATCTCCATTATTTAGAAGCACAATTCACAACACTTGCTCATATTTTTTCAAAACCATACTTGTTATTTTTTCTCTTTTCTTTCAATTTTCTTTTTCACAGGTAGAAGTATTGTCTTTCTTTTCTTTTCAACTTTTTCTCTCTTTTTTTTTTACAGCAAGACAACTAATGTAGATATTCACAAGTATGCAAAAATCCATTTTTTTTCTTTTTTTTTTTCAACCAACGTCTTCTAAATTACATAAATAATAAAAAACTCAATCTCGAGATAACTAAGGGTAAATAATATTATTTTTTTTCATTAGCTTGGTTATTATATGTTGGGTATAAAAAAAAATAACATTTTGCTTTAAAAGTTCAATCAAGGCTTCTAGGGATAATAATATTCAAAGAATAAGGCTCAAACTTAAATAATATCAAAGATGACCTAAAATCATATCTCAAGAGCTCTTGATAACACATTATCCCATTCAAATAATTCAAAGTCAAGCAATCATTCACAATATTAGTGTTGACCAAAACAAAAATAATGAGACTATTGAAGAAGATTAGCTGAATAAAAATATTTTTGAGTAAATGTAAATAACCCTCTAAGGAAGATTGGATCAAAACTCACCAGGGTTTTTATGTATCTCCATTATATGTTTCAACCTCTCAAGGTAAAACACCTAACAAATTTTTGACTTGGTAAAGTCTAAATGCACAAATTGTGAGTTTCTATAAGAACATGATANAACTTGGTAAAGTCTAAATGCACAAATTGTGAGTTTCTATAAGAACATGATATGAGATACAAAATATATAATAAAGTTCTATGTAATGCTTAAATAGGTACAAATTTAAGGCTAAATGAATTGTTCTTATAATAAGGTATCNATGTATCTCCATTATATGTTTCAACCTCTCAAGGTAAAACACCTAACAAATTTTTGACTTGGTAAAGTCTAAATGCACAAATTGTGAGTTTCTATAAGAACATGATATGAGATACAAAATATATAATAAAGTTCTATGTAATGCTTAAATAGGTACAAATTTAAGGCTAAATGAATTGTTCTTATAATAAGGTATCAATTTATGCATAAAAATGTTATTTAGATATTTAATAACACACTAGAACAAAATATGCATCTTCTATTATATTCAAATTTTATAAGTTGTATACATAGCTAAATCAAGCCTACACATTATCTAATCAAACAAAAATAGGCTTTGATTTCAACAAAAAGAAACTTTTCAAAATCCTAACAAACCACCGGGACCTAGAAGAAATATATCAACCTATGATAAAGGGCCTGCATGACTTTGAGAACTTTGCCCTGGCCCCTCATCTCTCTCATCTCTTTCCTTATCTCCCTCTGCTCTCTTAATATCTCAAATAGCAGTTGTCTCCTCATCAACTGGTAAATCAAAATCCTCATCCAAGTTAAGGAACTGATCTCACTGCTCCTCCACAAGCAATGTCCCCTTAGGTGTAGCCTCTCCCTGTTGCTCAGCGGCTTGCCCTTTCTCCCCTGCTGCTCTAGATACACTATGAATCTTCAGTAGAGAGCCAAAATTGAGAACCACCACTTTCTTAGCCTGGTCCATAATGACATCTACCATCACTCCAGTCTGCTCACACAAGGCCGCAGCTAAGCCAACCAAAAGGTAAAGAGCCTTTCTTCGGGTCCACAATCGCCCGTCTCATCTATGCAAAAATCAAGGAGAGAAGGTCGATAGAACAACCTGTGCCCATAGCATAGAGGAGTCGAGCTCGGTCTGGGTAAATATGGTTGTTCCTCAACAAGGGCAAAATATTTGATATTGAAATCAAATTTAGTATCTAGTACTTATTTGTCAGATCACCCCGAAGAAATCTAAACTCATTTGTCCACAAAAAATCCTCGCCCCCAATAGCTCTCTCCCTACTACATCACCCGAATAGGCCTGGGGATAATCCGGGTTGGGCACTCTAGCTTGAAGCATCCCCGTCAGCCTAGCAATGATAGTGGTATGAACTCTAATGTGCTTACCCCAAATATAGGCACAAAAAATGTCATTGCCACAGTCATCTGCANTCATTTGTCCACAAAAAATCCTCGCCCCCAATAGCTCTCTCCCTACTACATCACCCGAATAGGCCTGGGGATAATCCGGGTTGGGCACTCTAGCTTGAAGCATCCCCGTCAGCCTAGCAATGATAATGGTATGAACTCTAATGTGCTTACCCCAAATATAGGCACAAAAAATGCCATTGCCACATTCATCTGAATTGTTGTAGAACTTGCGTGCCAGAATAGGTATGCAAGGCCACTCCCGTCCCATGAAACCAGCCCACCTCCTCGAGCAAATAATATCCCAGACTCCTAACCGGGCAAAGTCCTCGTACTCTATCTGTCTTTTGCAAACAAAAGGCTTGTTTGTGTAATCCTGAAAAAATCTGACCCATGCTTCCAAAGTCTCAAAACGGAGGGAGTCAAAAGGGAGATCTTCATCTTGAGGGTCCTGGGTATCGATACAAGCCCTCTTAGAAGTTGAAGCTCGTGGAGGTGCCTTGAAGAAGAAGCAATGCAAATTTTTT